TCCTGGGATCGAGTCCCGCATCGGGCTCCCTGCTCCTCGAGAACCTGCTTCTCCCTCTGCTTCTCTCTCTCTCTGTCTCTCATGAATAAATAAATAAAATCTTTAAAAAAATAAAAAATAAAAATAAATAAAAAATAAATAAATAAAATGACATGAAGGTTGCGGTATATTTTCACTGGACAGCTCTGCTCTCAGCAGGACGGAGCGCCAATGTTTCATTAGTGACGTCTGCCATGGATGTGGCATGGAGTAGCTGCTGAGATCTGCCTAGTTGGCTCCGTGAGGGCACCTCACCCTGCCTGGGACTGTGAGTGCCTGACTAGGGGCCCGGTCCTGCTCTCTATCTCACGACCTTGGAAGCTCCAGGGTTTGAGGCCATTTCCAGGGGGTTTGTGCAGGGGGGCCCAGAATTTCCAGTGAGGACAGAGCCCGCTGTGGGCCAGCAGATGAGAGGCCACTCCTCTGACTGAACCTGAGCAGAGGGTGAGGGGAAGAGAGGGAGGAGAGGCCAATGGGCACAGCATACGTTCTACGTGGGCGAAGGCGCAGAAAGGTCCTCGGGGACAGCTGCCCGACTGCTGCATGTCGTTGCACTTGGTGGATTTATAGATCTGGAGGGTAGAGCAGAGGCAGGTCAGGCTTAGGCAGAGAGAGACAGGCAGGCATGGGTGCCTTCAACATAGGAGGGTTAGCTTAGTAATCTAACCTTTCTCCTCCCCATTCCATGCCACTTCCCTAAGTCTCTCCCTACTGACTTCTTGATACTCAAACTCCTGAAGCAGATATGGCTACCCCCATGCCAAGGACACCCTCCCTTCTAGGGTCACAGGTTCAACCAGCCCTGCTTCGGCCCTCACAAAGGGATCTTCTTCATGCTGCTTCTCCACTCAGGGTCTTGGCCAGGGCTGTGACCTCCAAATGTCCCTCTGGACATTAAGGAAGCCAAGATCACAGGCAGCACCCACCCACCACGGGGCACCCTGAGTTGGGATCTATGTCTAACTTTCTACCCACATAAGGTGGCCTCTGTCCGTATGTCTATCTCAGGATGTCTTAGCCTCCATGTACCCATGGACAGCATGTGCCTCTATATACCCTACCAGATCTTGGGACACTGACATGGCCCAAGCTACACCATGGGGCCAGTGGGCGGGGGACATACAATAGCGAGGTTGCTGGTACTATAAGCTCTGATCTGAAACACCTGGAAGGGGCTTTCTTTTTTAAATCCTCATGTCACTGGATTGTAAGCATCATGAGTGGTACAAAGCCCAGAATGGCCAGGTCACTATGCCCAGTCCATGCCTTCCCTGTCAGGAGGCTGGGGGGAAACAAAACTGGGAGCAGGGGGCTGCTCAGGGACTATGGGCTCAGCACAAGGCAAGTTACCAAATTAGGGTACAGGGCTCCTTTAGGCACTGTGTGGACGGAGGCCTCTTCCGGGATGCTGTCAGCATGAGCTCTGCCCCATCTGCCCAGGCTCTCCGTTCCTGTTTCCTTGCACCCCCCGGGCACGTGAGGCCACCCCCAGCTCCCCCAGGCCCAGCCCAGGCCCAGGCCCTCCGTTCCTTTTTCCTTGCCCCCCCCAGGGCACGTGAGGCCCCCCCAGCACCCCCCGGCCCTCCGTTCCTCTTTCCTTGCTCCCCGCCCCAGCCTCCCCAGCCCAGGCCCAGGCCCTCCGTTCCTTTTTCCTTGCCCCTCCCGGGCATGTGAGGCCCCCCTCAGCCCCCCCGGCCCCCCCGGCCCCGGCCCACCTCCGGGTGGAACTGCTGCTCCGTACGGCTATGGCAATACTGGCAGGCGTCGCCGCTCTCGCACTTGCCAGGGTCTCCCCACTCATCCCCATGCTTCACGTTCGGACACGGAGATGACCTGGTCCGGTTAGACGGCAGGGTCAGAGCGACGCAGGAGAGGGAGAGATCAGGAGCTGGGGGGTGCCAACTAGACGCCTGTTCAGGACCCCTCCCTGGTCTCCCTGCTTCACAGGGCCAGGCTCACAAAGAGAAAAGACGAGCTACACAGTGAGAGCCTTAATGGAGCCGGAAGCCAGGCTCTGCTTCTGTGGTGCAGCATGGCCGTTACCAGCAAGAAGGACACTTTTTGTCCCCTTCCGCCAGGTCCTCACGCCAAGCGTTGTGCAGCTCCAGGAGGGCCAGGCCATAGCCAGAACCGTACTTCCCACACGATGGCTTGGCCCCGGCAGTCGTCCCTCAGCATCAGAACTGGAGGGGTCTTAGAGATGATCTGACCTAAGATCCTCATCTCACACCACAGGAGGATCCCAGAGGACTCCCCATCATTCAGCTCATCCTGCTACTCCCTCCCCTTATACCTGGGCCCTGCAACCCTGCAATCCCCAGGGCTGGCCTCCCGGCCTCCCTGCGAGCACACTGGAAGCAGCCCCCGCCACAATCCCTTCCCTGCCACCCCTCCCTCCCATGGCCGGCCTGCCTGGGCCAAAGGACCTGTATTTGTGTTTCCGGGGGCTCCGCCGCCGGTCCTTGCTGTTGTGGTAGTAGGGACAGGCATAACCCTGGCGGCACAACCTCGGGGGCTTCTTGCACGGCTCCGTCTTATAGTTCCCCAGCACATAAGCAGTCTCTACACAAGGGGGCCAGAGGCAGGGGTCAGGCAGGGGGGGCAGGAGAAGCCACTTGGGAAAGGGTCCAGGAGCTCCGGCCACCTCCTCATGTGCCAATGCCAAGACTGAGACCCAGCAGAGAGGTAAGAACACCATCCCTCACTGGAGACACTCAAGGCTCACAGGATCAAAAAGGGCAACCTCAGAAGGTCAAGAACACCTTTATATAAACACACCTAAGGGCAAAACGTGTCTGGGAAAGTCCCCAGAAGGGCCCCCAGATGAAAGGGCTGTGGCTGGACGTAAGGTGGGATGAAGAAGTGGCGGTGAGCCAAGTCCTTAGGGCAGCTATGGGCAGGAGAGGAGAGGGGACAAACATCTGGCAGAGGAGGCACGGCCATCTGAGGGGCCACCTTTACCTTGCCACCGTGGCTCCTCACTGAGGATCTTTTCTATCATGGCGTGGCTAGCAGCCCCAGCCGTCTGGCCCTCTATGCTGCCCTCTACTGTGGTCTGGCCGTTCTGCAAGGCCTCCATGGCCTGGAGCTCTCTGGGAGGAAAGGAGAGGACAGAGAGCGGGGACGGGGCATGAGGGGGGAAGCAGAGTGCCAGCCCCTGCACTCCATCTATGGCAGTCCCCGCGTCAGCAGCCAGGCCCCCACCCTGGCCCAGAGCCATCAGCCCAGCATGGCATCCAGCCCACCTGATGTCGTAGACAGGGGAACGGAGGTCATGGGGCCCGTGGGCAAAAGCACAGTGCAGGCCGTTTTTGGTGCAGTTGCCTTTTGAGTCTGTCTCGTGGATACAGATTCCAGTCTTGTAGTAGCGCAGATGGTATCTGCGCTCAGTGTCCCCTGTGGTCCTGTGTAGGAACGGGCACCTGAAACGTTGGGGGGGGTGGTCACTCACCTTTGCCCTTGGAGCCTGGGCAATCAGCCCCTGCCCTCCCCTCCCCTCCCTGTTGAAGGCTTTCCCCATGACCCGGATGGTGCGTTGACTGAGGAGGCCAGCAGTGATGGGCCCTGCTGCGGTAACAGACCCCCCCTCCCACCACCTGTTGGATGCTGCAGCTTGATGGGGGCCCATCAGGGCCCAGGATTCCCACTTCAGCCTGCTCAGCAAGTCCTCTCAGAGGCTACTTGACCAGGGCCCTGGGCTGACTTGAAGAGAAGCTCCAGAGGGGGGCACACTCCTGGGAGCGCAAGTGCTGGCTGGATCTGCAGGGGTCCACAGAGAAACGGCCTGCTCAAAGCATGGGCGTACCCTCTCATGCCCCAGTGCCTTATTAGGCTGGGGGCAGGGGGCTCAGGGGGTGGGAAGGAATAAGCCTTGTACCTCTGGGAGAAGTGTGAGTGCAGGGATGGTTCAGTGAGTTGTACCCACAGACCCCCAGCAGTGCTTCCCATTACCACCTCTGCAAGGCTCAAACAAGCAGGGTCAACAAATGCTCCCTCTCAGAGTGATGTCCCCAGGCTTGTCTTTTCTTCTCCTTAGCAGAAGAAAAGCCTGTGTAGGGTTTCCCAAAAGTGGGTAAAGAAGAAGGGGCCTCCCCCAAAGGATGGTGGGGTCTGAGCCCAGGTCCAGGCCACAGGAAGGCAGGCCAGGCTGCAACAGTACTCCCAAAAGCAGCCTTGGTTGGTTTCTCAGACTCTGCTTGGCCTATTCTGAGGGCATCTGACTCAGGAGACATGAGGCTCCTCTGAGGGCAGGCTGCAGGGAGGGGAGGGGGAGTACTCACTCGTCGCCCTCTGGGCAGAGGCCTGTGGCCTCGTCGTACTTGGTGCAGTAGACGTCCGGGCTGTAGTTGAAGGTGCCGTCCCGACGGCGGATGGACCGGCGACGTCTCTGGTTCACGAAGTGCCAGTGGAAGCAGGTGTAGGGCCGGTGCTGAGTGCATTTGTGTTGCACAAAGAGTGGGCACTGCTCCGTGCGGAATTCCTTCAGGTACCTGCAGGGAGAGCCCCCACGGAGGGTAGGCCAGGAGCAGAGACTTAAGCCCCTTGCTTCCCAGCATGAAATTAGCCACCACGGCCTCTGAGGGCCCTACTCTGGGGTGCTAGTTCCATTAGGACACCAGAAGAGGCCCAGAGCTAAGGGTGGACCTCAGCATCCAGACCCTTCCCAGTACCCAGATCCCAAGCCAGCCTGAAAAGCAAGAACCGTAGACCACAACAGTCAGCTGTCTGCCATGGCAGCCAGTGGAGGGCTTAACCAGTGGCTTAGTTCTGAGCCCTCCCTGAGGTTTCCCAGGCCAAACGGCTGATCACAGGCAAAGGGCTGCAAACAAGAGCATGAGGAACCGCTCCCAAACTCCTGCAGGGTCTTCTGCTGCCCAGGTCTGCCTGCCAATCCCTGGGGTCTCACCTGTCCCAGGAGCAGGGCTGGGGATCCAGGCTGTGGGCTGGGCAGGCTGCTGCTTTGGAACTGAAAGCCCAAGTCACAAGGTGTTCCTCTCAACTACTGAGTCAGAAAATTATTGTCCAACTTCCTCCCAGAGACACTTCCTAGCACTACACAGGTTAGTGCCTGGGAAGGAGCTCCTTTTACAGAAGCATCTGAAGAGACTCTCCCTCCCAGCCTTGCCTGCCCCCAGTGGTCTCACAACTGCATACCTGCAGCAGCTGGGGCTGTTTACGTCCTGCCTAACCTGGGGATTTGGGGGCACTGTCTTTTTGGCCTCCTCCCAACCTTTGTCCCTCTCCTCTGCATGTAATAGCCAAGAGACCCCAACATAGCACTCTCCCATGAACCACCCAGCGGAGGGCCCCAGACCCACTTACCCCCTTACAGAACATGCCATCCATCTGTGTTTTTGCTCACTCTATGTGTCCAGGTGAAGGGTGTCTTAGACTTGGGAGCCCCTACACAGCAGGGACAGGCAGACAGCACAGTTCTCTTTATTCATTCCCTTAAGCCCTAACAGTGCAGGCAACAAATGGCTCGACAGAGGGCATTTGATGCCAGCAACGAGGATGATTCCAGAAGGCACAGAAGAGCGTGTGCAGAAGGGGGCACAGAGGGAACAACAACCTGACCTGAAGTAACTGTCCAGGCTTGGAGCAGCACCTGAAGCTAGAAGGCATGGGACAAAGGTGAGAGGATGTGGCTCATGCCAGGATACTTGAGGCCTTATTAGTCTGGGCATATAGAAGGTGTAGGGACAGGTAGGTTGAGGGCTGAGACTTTCCAGACAGGTTTTCTTTACTGCTAATGAAAAGTGCTAAAAAAAAAAAAATCCTCTCCGCCTTAAAGTATGGAGAAGTGTCCAGGTGTATGTATGGGCCAGGGGAAGCTGGAGCTGGGTGCTCCTTGAGGAATACAAATAAAGGTTTAAAGGGCAGTAAAACTTCCAAACAGAGTCTGCTGTTCATTCAGCACATATTTATTGAGCATCTACCAGGTGCAGGCACAGTGGCAGGCACTGAGGACCCTAATGAAGAAGCAGGTCCTTGCCTTGGAAGCCCATACCTTCATGGGAGAGACATAAAAGTAACAGGCAGAATCAATCAAGTGTGGAAAAGGTTATAAAGGAGGTTTGCTGAGGGTTCCTTGGGAACCCAGAGTATGGGGCCCAGGCTGGGAGAGGAAGGGAAATGGGGAGGTGCTGGTGGGTGGAAGAATGGGGAAGGATGGGGGCGCCTGGGTGGCTCAGTCGTTAAGCGTCTGCCTTCGGCCCAGGTCATGATCCCAGGGTCCTGGGATCGAGCCCCACATCGGGCTCCCTGCTCGGTGGGAAGCCTGCTTCTCCCTCTCCCGCTCCCCCCGCTTGTGTTCCCTCTCTCGCTGTGTCTCTCTCTGTCAAATAAATAAAATCTTTAAAAAAAAAAAAAAAAAGAATGGGGAAGGATGTTTTAGGCAAAGGGGCTAAGTATGAACTTAGAGAGTATGTCTAGGTCCAAGAGTTCCAAGTACCTTTGTGGGATGTGAGTGGGGTAGAGAGGAACTGGAAAGGGGAAAGGAGGATAAGGTGAGGTGCAGGAGGAGCCAAACTGCAGGGACATCATCTCTGGGTCCCAGGTACATTTGGAGACACCAGGCAGAAACCTAGAAGTCTCCCTAGGGCCTGATGTTCTCCTGTCCCTTTTGGCACTGGAACACAAGGTCTTTCTTTTTTTTTTTTTTTTAAGGTCTTTCTTTCTGTCTGGTTGGACAGAAAGCTGTACCTCGTGCTGCACACATGTCCCAAACCCTGGCACTGAGATGGGACACCCATCCTCCAAACTACTAGGCAGATCCCTCCTGGGCAGCACATACTCCATCTGACTCTGGACCCACCAGGAGACTAACTCAGGAGGTAAGAGGTGGAAAATGGGAGAGGAGGAAGCAGAATCCAGGGCCAGGAGCAGAAGAGTGAAGAGTGGTTAGGATTGTCAGATTAAACATGGGACACCCAGTTAAATCGGAATTTCAGATAAACCAAGTATTTCATGGGGCATACTGATAAAAATGTATCCATTATTTGAAATTCCAATCTAACTGGTATCCTATATTTTTATTTGTTAAATCTGCCAACTCTGAGTGGTGCCTGTCTGCTTGGTATCAGTGCCTCAGTAAAAAAACCAGGAGGCAGCCAGGGGAAGTCACCCTGACTTCAGGCATAGTCTGTCCTCTTGGAGGAGCATCTCAGCAAGCCTGCTTGCTTGGGGCAGCCATGTCCACGGTGCCACACGCAAATACCGGGGCTCCACAAGGGCTCTGGCTGGCAGGGATGCCACAGAGAAAGACAGACACCAGGCAACAAATTATCTCACTTTAAGTCGTAGGTCAGGGACTTGGTACTTTGCTTCCAGTCTCTCCCTTGTCCAATTTATACCACACAGCACTTGTTTATTCTTCCTAGAGCCCAAATTTAATTCTCACTTTCTTAGAAGTCTTTAGCTTCCCCCAGTAGCTCCAGATAAGCACCAACCATTTAGCCTGGCATTCCAGGCCCTAAACATCTGGCCCAATACTTTTTTCCAGCCTTAATTCCCTTGATTCCTCTCCATTCCAGTTGCTAAAACTGGAGTCCTTGGTGACTTGCAAATAGATCTTTAACTCTTCTTTATGTCCGCTTCCTTACCTGTAGAAATCTTTCAAGGCTGAATTCAATGGTAATAAATCTGATGCCACCACCTCCATGTTGCCTTCCTTGACTTCCACCTATCCTCCCCTTTCTGCCCTTGTTCCTAGTTAAAAGTTATAATCTCTAAGTTTTGCCAGCATGTTCTCTAGACATTTTTATAGCCTTTATCCTGCAATGCATATTAATAATCTGTACATTTTTCTCTACTACTAGATTATAAAATCCTTGACAGCAAGTAAGAACTGAATACAGTTTGCTGAATGAATACAAGAAATGAAGTCACAGTAGGGCAGAGCCCACAAAGCAATACCGACAGCTTTATGATGCCGCCAGCAGGCAGAGCATTGAGAGGTGAAAGCCTAATCCCTATTCCCTTGTGGAAAGTACCACACAGCAGGAAACCTATAACTCAGCAGATAGGGCAGAGTGTCCTGCAGAAAAGCCCCTCATGAGAGAAGGGGCTGAGTGACCAAATTTACACAGGCAGAGAGCCCATTTTTAACCAACTGCAATCAGAGGAGATAAATTTCTAACTTTTTGCTAAAATCATGAATGGAACTGTACCATCTGCTACCTAGGAACCAGAATGTTTGTTCAGAATTTCCCATTCTCCCTCTCCCACTTGACCCTCTGCTAACAGGCAATACAGTACCCAGAAGGCAAGGACAAAACCACTTAGAAATCACTTTCTATTTTCATGGATTGAAATTCAACAAATTTTCAGTGGACATGCACAACTGTCACTGTTAAGCTCCAATCCATCTCTTTCATCTTAAGGCTTTGAAAGTTCAAGATCTAAGAAACTAAATAGGTTGAAATTCACTCTTTAATTCAACAGGAGGGAAAACACACCAACTACTCACTCCCCCCCGCCCCAAACTCTGGGGAAGGCACAAGGGCCACACAACTAAGTGCTTCATACTCCCATCTCCCAGGAATACCTGCACTCAAGAATAAAAGCCAGTAACATAGAATAGTTTCAAACTGCAAGGCCTTGGTGAGCTACTATGGCCAAAATCAGTCCAGAAACCACACAGGCCCTGGGCAAGTAAGAGCTCTGTCACAGAAAGCCATGCCTTCAACAGGAAGAAGGGATGGATACTCGATTGCTCAGAGCTTCATCTTTACTAAGCAGTGCCTTCATGTCTGCCCCACGGCTGAGCTTCAATCAAAGCTACCTTTCGCTCCTTTTCAGGACATCACATTAATTATCCTAGCAATGGTTTATTTGTAAATGTAAAAGATTATTATGAAAGCCACACGCCCACTTACAAAAATTTTGGAAAATGGAGAAAATCGCCCTTAATCCCATCACTAATGTTAGCGTTTTGGTAAATTTTCTCTTGGTATTTTTACACAGATATAATCATAATGTACCTATCATACTGCTAAACCGCTTTACACAACTATTAATACTTTTCCCTAAAAACTTTTAAAATCAAGTATATGCAACCACATTTAAAAAAAAAATCAAATGATACTTTCAACATTTATTGGATTATTTTTATTTTCCAAAACTCTAAGTAACAGCAAAAAGCAGGCTATTGGAAATCTAAAGTCAATCACTTGCCCCACTACCAGTGATAGCATTTAAGGGATTAACAATAAATTCAGTAAGTTACATCACCCTGAAGGAGGTGTTAAATCAAGTTCTAAACTGCTACCAGTTCAATTTCCAGCTAAACTTTAAATCCTATTCCAAGTTGTCTCACTTAATAGGTTTATCAGTTTGGGTGTTTCACTCTCTTCCAGGGAGAAGTGTGAAGAGAATTTAAACAAACTGAATGAACAGAAAAGTATCAGAGCGAACAGAAAAACTATGTAAGTTTAGAGGCAATGGGGAGAAAGGAGCTGGTATTCTAATCTGTATCTAGTCCCCCACGGCTTCTAGAATAGGGTCACATGACCTCACTCTGACTCTACCTGCCCTGCTGCCACTTCCCCAACAACAAACCAGACTCTCGAGCAGGGTTAGCAAACTTTTCCTGTAAAGGACCAGTTAGTATTTTAGACTTTGAGGGCCAAGAGGCCAAATTGAGAATAATATGTACTTACGGAACAAAACAAACTTCCACATTTTTTTAATTGATGAAATTCAAAATCTAGTGGGCGCCTGGGTGGCTCAGTTGGTTAAGCGACTGCCTTCGGCTCAGGTCATGATCCTGGAGTCCCAGGATCGAGTCCCGCATCGGGCTCCCTGCTCAGCAGGGAGTCTGCTTCTCCCTCTGACCCTCCCCCCTCTCATGTGCTCTCTCTCATTCTCTCTCTCTCAAATAAATAAATAAAATCTTTAAAAAAAAAAAATTCAAAATCTAGTAATTGGCTACAATTTTTGTAGAGGTTCTACTAATAAGATCAGATTTGGGGGGATGGGATAACATTTGTAAAGTTAAGGTCCCTTTCATCAAATTGATTACAAATGTTCATCTGTTAATGCAGATTCTATAATCAGATTTTACAGATTTCATCTTTGAAAATGTCTTTCACATCTTTGAAAATGATAGGTACTGCCAAATGCTCTTATCATTCCACAAGCATGATTTTAATTGAGCACATTCTTCTCTTAGAAGACATCTACAGAATTCTATTAGTCTTGATAGTTGCCTTTTAATCGCTTCCAATTGACAGTTTGGTGTAAACTCCTTAGTTGCACAGGTAAATGGATTTTGAAATAAGGAAATTTCTTTTGCATTCACATCAAGCAGCAAAATCACTGCTAGAACTGTAGTTTGTGTTTAGAAATCATATCCACAGTAACTTTGTGTAGGAATGGAGTCTTGCCTTTGTTTTAACTTTTTTAAAAAATTTTATTATGTTGATCACCAGACATCATTTGTTTTTGATTCAGTGTTCCATGATTCATTGTTTGTGTGTAACATCCAGTGCACCATTCAACACGTGCCCTCTTTAATATCCATCACCAGGCTAACCCATCCCCCCACCCCCCTCCCCTCTAGAACCCTCAGTTTGTTTCTCAGGGTCCATAGTCTCTCATGGTTCGTCTCCCCGTTTTAACTTTTGACAGGACACAGGAAGTGTAAAAAGTAGTTTGACACATGGGGCGCCTGGGTGGCTCAGATGGTTAAGCGCCTGCCTTCGGCTCAGGAAGCAGGGAGCCTGCTTCTCCCTCTCCCTCTACTGTTCCCCCTGCTTGTGCTCTCCCGCTCTATCAAATAAATAAAATCTTAAAAAAAAAAAGTAGTTTGACACGACTTATGATTCAAACATTCGTTGTCAAAATAACTTTACTACAATTTAAGGTTTGCAAAGAAGCTGTCTTGTAATTTTAGGCTGAAGTCTTTAAGAAACCTTATCAAGTCTGCAGGAAAAGCCAATTTCCAAAGCTATTCAGCATTCAAGAATAGTGGTTGAGAATGATTCTTCTCATTCAGAAAAATTTCAACATCAGCCCTGAACTCAGAAAATTACAAGAAAACTTTACCACTGCTAAGCCATCAAACTATTGTGTAGTAGGGCATGCCAGAATATTCAGCTTCTCTAACAAAAATTAATGGAATTGATTCTCATGGTGAAGTCCACATGAGGGAGTAAAGTTCGTTGCTGATTCTAACAGTTCAATGACATGATGGATTCAAAAATTTTTCTG